GTGTACGTGTGCGCTCGAGACTTCGGCGCGATCAGGCAGTAGAAAGAGGCAGAAAAATGACTTTCTGTCTCGCTCTCGCTCGGGCGAGTTGGCGTTCAACGTTCAACTCTCAATAACGTCGTAAGCGGTATAAGAAATGTCCGAATTCTCCGGCTCGTTCTCTGACTTTTCTTTATTAATTAAAAATTGCATTTATATGTATGTATATATAAAATTTATATGTACAAAAAACTGCGTACAAATAAAATAATAAATTTACCACTCTTGGCCACTATGTACGTTTATTTTTTAAATAAATGTTTTTATAGATTACATATATGTAAAAATATACTGAAATACATGTAAAGCTTCTTAGCAACAATAAAAACCAAAATTGGAATGACACAAAACACATTTTTTATTTAGATTGATATTCCCATTATATTTATACTTAATAAATGATATATCTTATGTATCTATATTTTTAAAACAATTTATACGACGTACATATTGCACACGATCTGAGGTTGTTTGCGCATCCTCTCTATGCTACCGCTGCTACCGTATGCTACCAAGTGTTCAGAATCTTGCATCTCTGAATTAATTTGGAAGTTAGACTTCTCTCTATGCTCTCTCGATTAAATGGTAATGTAAATTGTAAACTTTAAGCTCTGTTTTGTTGCTGTTGTGTTTTTGTTGCTTCTTATTTCTAGTTTTGCGTTGTCAAGGACGTCGGGACGTGGCGACGTGTATTGTATCAGGGAAGACCGCCTTGTTCACGGTTTTCGACGCATGGTTTCCCGTGGGCCGTTGGACAAATGCCGAGACGGGAACTCGGGGTGCCCATTTTTGGGAGGTGGGTTCACGCAAGTTCCTCCCTCCCCTGTCCGAAGATCGGAAAGTTGCGAGATTGTCGGAGACCTGAAGAATAAAATTTCTCAAGAGGAATTTCTTCGACCGGTCAGCTTGAGATCCTGTGGCAGCAATCCAGGAGTGAGCGGGAAGACGGGATCTCCTTTAATCGTCGGGACGACGATTTGGAAGAGGAGGGGGACAATGTTACGCGGCGGTCACCGCGAATGTGTCGCGGGAGCCGCGTGAACGGCGCGCGCTTGCCGCGACCGTTTGTTGCCGGGCGACTTGCAAGTTTGTTTAAGAAGAATTGCAACGGAGAGCTGTCACGTCGCGCTTCGACAATTTGTCCTGATACAATTTGTATTCTGATATCGTTTATATTCTGAATGTTAATAAAGTGTTTTGAGAGAGAAACCGCGCTTCTTCTTCGCCGCGAACGCGCGCGTGAATCTCAGTGGCCGGCGATAGTGCCGTCTTGCCTTCGCGGGCGTAACAATATATTACCTTGTTGTTCACGAGTAATAGAGATATGCGAACTATTCGGATTCGAATCGAATCGAATCGAATCTGATGAAATTCGATTCGATTCGAATCCGAATCTCTATGGTTCNAATACGAAGTATTCAAAGATACGAATTGAAAAGATTTTATACAATTTTTTTCTACAGGCACTGACATTGTTATTTAATGTACTCACATCCAAATTTATATTATCCAAGCTATCAGGATTTATATTTAAATCAATTATATTTATATTTAAATCAATCTCCATGAAAAATAATTTTCTAAAATAAATTAAAAATATAAAATGTCATATTAAAATCAATGCAAAATTGCGTTTCTTTTCAAACTCATATTTACTGCTAATAAACAAAGTGGCGCTGATTTAGAAAATAAGAGAGTAAAAGTTAGTTAGTTTGACTTTAAGTAAGAAGAATTTGATTAAGTGATTTTGTTCTTATTAATTATAATAAGAACAAAAAATCTGGAAAGCGCAAGTCTGATTCAGAATCATACATATACAAGAATTCATTCAAGTGCAGAAAATTCGAGAGAAACTTGTGTTGTGTTAGTATTATAGGTTAGGTTATGTTAAAAGATTAAATTTGAAAGGTTTATATATAAATTGTTTTAATTTTCACACTAATATTAATAACACGATATTTATAATTTATTACAGATACTTTTTATTCATGGAGACCGATTTAAATATAAATTCTGATAGCTCGGATAGCTTGGATTTTACATCAATTGACAGCGCCTGTAGAAAAAGAAAAGTAACTGACTACTCTGAAAAAGCATTTAAAGAAATTAATACAATAAAAATAAAGGAAAATGGAGGATTGCTTCTTGACAGACAAAATTGTAATTTGTCATGTGATTCTGTAATTAGTGCAAATGATAAAATTGAGAAAGAACAGAATGATGAAAATAGTGGTAACAATGATGTACAAGTTAGTACAACTGATATGGCAAAAATTAATGCACCTCATGCTTTGATTTGGTTTTACTTTACTAAGATGAAAAAAGATCAGTACAAGGCTGTTTGTAATATCTGTAAGATCGTCAGGAATATTCCAACTGGTACTACAACGACTCTTCAGAATCATTTGAAAAGACATGTTGTTGCATATAATGAATATTCAAAATTAAAAGAACTTAAGGATATATCAAAAACCAAGATTAAAACTAAGTCAAATAAGCAAATGTCTCTGAAACATAGTTTTAGATCTACAGTATTTTTAGATCCTTCAAACAAAAGAGCGCAAGAAATAACTAACACTATAGCTAAGTTTATTTGTAAGGGTTTACATGCATATAGTATTGTCGAAGAACCTGCTTTCAAAGATTTGATTTTTCTTTTTTTTTGAACCAAGATATGTTGTCCTCTGTCGCACAACATTTTCAAGATCAGTAGTACCAAAATTGTATAAAAATTTGAAAGAACGAATGCTTAACATAATAAAATCTGCAAAAACCACTCTTTATTCAGTGTGTATGACAACTGATTTATGGACATCAAGATCTGGTGATTCGTACATAGCTTTTACATTACAATTTCTCGATGAAGATTTTGTCATGCAGCATATGACAGTAGATTGCCAACCTTTTCCAGGAAAACATGATTCTACAGCTATCTGCGACAAAGTGGAAAATATTTTTTGTGAATTAGACTTGTGCTTGATGAAAAAATAAAAAAATATATAGTTTCTGATAATGGAGCCAATATAGTAAAAGCACTTAGCAAAAACTCTTTGTGTAATTTAGAAAATGATTTTGTCGACATAGCTGAACCCAGCAAACAATTTGGTTGCGAGATGTCGCAGTTTTGTTGCCAACCGCCGGCGAAATTAGTAGACCAAATCCATATCCATCTGTGTCCTCATTAGGATATGGTTTGGCGACCATATCTGTCAAACATGTGAGATGTCAAAAT